ATATAGTTACACATTTATATAGTTGCATTGTTATATAATTACATAGTTAGTTACATTGTTACATAGTTATATAATGACATAGTTATATTGTTACATAGTTATATAGTTACATAGTTATATAGTTACATTGTTACATAGTTACATAGTTATATAGTTACATTGTTACATAGTTATATAGTTACATTGTTACATAGTTACATAGTTATATAGTTACATAGTTATATAGTTACATAGTTACATAGTTATATAGTTACATTGTTACATAGTTATATAGTTACATTGTTACATAGTAATATAGTTACATATTTATATAGTTACATAGTTATATAGTTACATTGTTACATAGTTATATAGGTACATAGTTATATAGTTACATTTGTTTACATATTTATATAGTTACATAGTTATATAGGTACATAGTTATATAGTTACATTGTTACATAGTTATATAGTTACATTGTTACATATTTATATAGAAATTTAATTCCATTGCTACGTAGTTATATAGTTACATTGCTCGTTACATTGTTACATACTTATACAGTTACACATTTATATAGTTACATTGTTATATAATTACATAGTTATATTGTTACATAGTAATATAGTTACATAGTTATATAGTTATATAGGTACATAGTTATATAGTTACATTGTTACATAGTTATATAGTTATATAGGTATATAGTTATATAGGTACATAGTTATATAGTTACATTGTTACATAGTAATATAGTTATATAGTTACATTGTTACATAGTTATATAGTTACATAGTTACATTGTTACATAGTTATATAGTTACATTGTTACATAGTTATATAGTTACATTGTTACATAGTTATATAGTAGTTACATAGTTACATAGTAATATAGTTACATATTTATATAGTTACATAGTTATATAGTTACATTGTTACATAGTTATATAGGTACATAGTTATATAGGTACATAGTTATATAGTTACATAGTTACATAGTTATATAGTTACATAGTTACATAGTTATATAGTTACATTGTTACATAGTTATATAGGTACATAGTTATATAGTTACATAGTTACATTGTTACATTGTTACATAGTTATATAGTTACATTGTTACATAGTTATATAGTTACATTGTTACATATTTATATAGAAATTTAATTCCATTGCTACGTAGTTATATATAGTTACATTGTTACTTCAGCAGCCTATAAATGAGTAATAGTTTTCCGTTTAGACATGGGGTTGTATAAAGCACACAGAGCCCATCCCCCCCTCTGCACACTCCATGTGGATGGGGAATCCTCCCGCTGAGTCTTTGTATTCTGACTTCCCCTCCAGCAGAATCCACTGATCAGTGTTGCTGGCTGCAGCCGGCTGTGCGGATCAGGTGGGGAGAGCTGACATGGTGGCTGTACTGACGCGGATCAGTCGACTTCCGTGCCACCAGAGGGCCCAGACATCCCTGCTTGGATCCATGTACAGAGGGCTCTATAGATCCATGGAGTTCCCACCACTCCTCCATATACACAGCGGATCCAGAGGAAGGGGAACCTCTTCTTTAGAACGCTCCCGTCCAATCCCGTCCCCCTCCTCGGATCTGTCGCAGATCTCCGTCTGCCGGAGGATTTCTGTCTGTAACAATCCTTAGTGATTACGGGACATGGAGTGCAAGTCACCCGTCACACCGCCGCCACTTAGAATCGTGCGATTTGTGCGCAATTTCACCGCGATTTCTGCAGACTTTACACCGCGGTCCCACCAAACCCGACTATGACATAATGCGACTTATGCCGGCCAAAGACGGATCATTCATCGCCCAAATTTTCGTCCGAAAGATTAGTCAGCCGATTTTCGCAGTGTTAGTGGGACGATTTTTGCGGTTCTTCCTCGTTTCATTTATCGGTCGTGCTGGAAAATTTACAAAAAAACGGCCGATTTTCGCAATCATCAGCGGCACCATCAGATTACAGAACGAACAATGTTTAGTTTTTCGGACGAAAAATTGGCTGATTTCTTGTGTGACTTTTTCCCCAGTTTTGTTGCAATTTCACATAGAATATAACGGAAATTGCTCCGCAAATCGCAAGAAATCGCTGAAAATCTTCACAAGCAGCAATATATCCCCGGTCACACTGGATGCGAATTGGCATGCGATTTGCGTTCCATGCGACTTGCAAATCGCATGGCAAGTTGCCCCCTATTGTCAGCAGTTACATCGATCATATCAGCGCGGGTCTGACTTGGTTGGAGCCGCACAGATTTCTAAAGTAGTCCCTGCACTGCTTGTGGTGCGATTATTCTTTGGGACAAAAATTCGATAAACGAACTGTCTGTGGCCGGCATTACAGTGAAGTCGCACGATTTCAAAGTCGGAGGACGCGCCGATTTCAGGTGCGATTTACAGGATATCTGACGCAGACGTCTACGCGAATCGCACCACAAGCAGTGCATGGACTACTTTAGAAATCTGTGCGGCTCCAACCAAGTCGGACCTGCTCCGATATAATCGATGTAATTGCTGACAATAGGGGGCGACTTGCCATGGAACGCATGGAACGAAATTCGCATGCCAATTCGCATCCAGTGTGACCGGGGATATATTGCTGCTTGTGAAGATTTTCAGCGATTTCTTGCGATTTGCGGTGCGACTTTCATTATATTCTATGTGACATCGCAACAAAACTGGTCGAAAACGTCACGCAAGAAATCGTGCTGCAGGAAAATTGCGCAGGTTATGACACCGACATTCACATTCATTAGATGCGATTTCTGCTGCGATTTTAAATTTCAAATCGCAGCAGAAATGGCATCGGTGTGACCCGGCACTAATGCCGGCCATAGATGGTTTGTTTATCGGCCGATTTTTTTGTCTGAAAAACGAAACATTGTTCGTTCTGTAATCCGATGTTGCCACCGATGATTGCAAAAATCGGCCTTTTTTCCTGAACTTTCCAGCACGACCGATAAACGAAATGAGGAGGAATCGCGAAAATCGACGGATTATTCTTCCGGACGTAAAATCGGCTGATATACGACCCGTCTATGGCCTGCAAAAGTCACATGATGTCATAGTCGGGTTTGGTGGGACTGCGGTGTAAAGTCTGCAGAAATCGCGGTGAAATTGCGCACAAATCGCACGATTCTCAGTGGCAGCGATGTGACGGGTGACTTGCACTCCATGTCCTGTAATCACTAAGGATTGTTCCAGACAGAAATCCTCCATTTCTGGCAACAGAACGACCGTTTTTTTGTTTTTTCGGCTGAAAATTCGGCCGATAAACGAACCGTCTGTGGCCGGCATTACAGCGAAGTCGCACGATTTTAAAGTCGGAGGACGTGCCGATTTCAGGTGCGATTTTCAGGATATCTGACGCAGACGTCTACGCAAATCGCACCACAAGCAGCGCAGGGACTCCTTTAAAAAACTGTGCGGCTCCAACCAATTCGGACCCGCGCCGATATGATCGATGTCATTGCGGACAATAGGGGACGACTTGGCATGCGATTTGCAAGTCGCATGGAACGCAAATCGCATGCCAATTCGCATCCAGTGACCAGAGACTTATTGCTATTTGTGAAGATTTTCAACGATTTCTTGCGATTTGCGGTGCGACTTCCATTATATTCTATGTGAAATCGCAACAAAACTGGCGAAAAAGTCACGCAAGAAATCGCGTCGCAGAAAAATTGCGCAGGTTATGACACCGACATTCACATTCATTCGATGCGATTCCTGGCGCGATTTTAATTTCCAAATGGCACCTGAAATGGCATTGGTGTGACCCGGCACTAAGTCCCCGGTCACATCGGGTGCAGCTTGGCATGCGATTTGCGTGTCATGCGACTTGCAAATCGCACGGCAAGTCGCACCCTATTACAGCGGTCATATCGGCGCGGTTCTGACTTGGTCGCAGCCGCACCCATTTCTAAAGTCGTCCATGCGCTGATTTTAGTGCGATTTGCGTAGACGTCTGCGTCGGATGTCTTCCAAGCCGCACCTCAAATCGGCAAGTCACCTGACTTTGAAATCATGCGACTTCGCTGTAAGTCGCAGGATTTTAAATTCGGGATGGGTGTGACCGATGATGATGATGATTTCATTGATTGTGAACTCCCGAGCGGCAGAGTGACGCTTCCTTGTACTTGACACACGAAGGGTGACAACACTGGAGCTCCGGGGGACCCAGCCAGGTAATGTAGTCACCCTATAGGTGAGAATGGAGGACACAGAAATCTTCAGATCCGGGTGGATTGTAATCTGACGTCAGATCTACAAGATTCGATTCCTCAGACCTCGGAGAGAGTTTTCCGTTGGGGGCGGGGCGGTGCCCCATGTCACTCAGAGGCGTCCTGGTGACGGGGGGGGGGGGGGGCGGTTAAATGGCGTCCATACGGCCTGTCAGGACCCCTTTTGTGACAGGTGACAATCGCACGTCTCAGAAGAACAAGGCGGCTCTGTGTGTGTCCGACCCCCCAGAATAATCCGCGACACAATGGACGCCATCACCGCAACGAGGAACGCCGATTTCATTGGACAATGGGAAGAGCTCGGCTCCACCCAAAACTGCCATTTGAAGGACCAGAAATGGGAAAGCGATCATTTCCGGCCAGAAGTGAAAAAAATCGCATTTACAGCGCAATGTTCCTCTTTGGCTTGTCAGATCCCAACGATCCCCCCGGACGGTGAGCGACCAATGGCGGGATCACTGCACTTACAAATCAAAACCTTCATTCCTGGGTGGGGGAGGAGCTTACAAAAGAACTCCACCCCCCCAGGAATAGAAGAGTCACCTGTGTCCAGGCTCCTCCCACCTCTAACAGTAAGTGCATGTGTGAGGAATTACAAAGTGAGGTTCTATGTGTGACCACACCCCCTGTGTATGACCACACCCCCTATATATGACCACACCCCCTCCAACTGAACCTCTCATTACTGATCAGGTCTGAAACAGAAAGAAAGAAAAATCCATTTTTTCCTGGAGGGGCACAGGTGTACAGGCTCCTCCCCTTCAGTCTTGCACAGGTGTACCGGCTCCTCCCCTTCAGTTTTGCACAGGTGTACAGGCTCCTCCCCTTCAGTCTTGCGCAGGTGTACAGGCTCCTCCCCTTCAGTCTTGCACAGGTGTACCGGCTCCTCCCCTTCAGTCTTGTACAGGTTTACAAGCTCCTCCCCTTCAGTCTTGCACAGGTGTACCGGCTCCTCCCCTTCAGTCTTGCACAGTTGTACTGGCTCCTCCCCTTCAGTCTTGCACAGGCGTACCGGCTCCTCCCCTTCAGTCTTGCACAGGTGTACCGAATCCTCCCCTTCAGTCTTGCACAGGTGTACCGGCTCCTCCCCTTTAGTCTTTTCACAGGTGTATCGGTTCCTCCCCTTAAGTCCTGCACAGGTGTACCGGCTCCTCCCCTGCAGTCTTGCACAGGTGTCACGGCTCCTCCCCTTCAGTCTTGCACAGGTGTACCTACTCCTCCCCCCTTCAGTCTTGTACAGGTGTATCGGCTCCTCCCCTTCAGTCTTGTACAGGTGTATCGTCTCCTCCCCTTCATTCTTGCACAGGTGTACCGGCTCCTCCCCTGCAGTCTTGCACAGGTGTCACGGCTCCTCCCCTTCAGTCTTGCACAGGTGTACCTGCTCCTCCCCTTCAGTCTTGTACAGGTGTATCGGCTCCTCCCCTTCAGTCTTGTTCAGGTGTATCGTCTCCTCCCCTTCAGTCTTGCACATGTGTACCGGCTCCTCCCCTTCAGTCTTGCACAGGTGTACCGGCTCCTCCCCTTCAGTCTTGTACAGGTGTACCAGCTCCTCCCCTTCAGTCTTGTACAGGTGTATCGTCTCCTCACCTTCAGTCTTGCACAGGTGTACCAGCTCCTCCCCTTCAGTCTTGCACAGGTGTACCAGCTCCTCCCCTTCAGTCTTGTACAGGTGTATCGGCTCCTCCCCTTCAGTCTTTTCACAGGTGTACCGGCTCCTCCCCTTCAGTCTTGTACAGGTGTACCAGCTCCTCCCCTTCAGTCTTGTACAGGTGTATCGGCTCCTCCCCTTCAGTCTTTTCACAGGTGTACCGGCTCCTCCCCTTCAGTCTTGCACAGGTGTACCGGCTCCTCCCCTTCAGTCTTGCACAGCTGTACCGGCTCCTCCCCTTCAGTCTTGTACAGGTGTACCAGCTCCTCCCCTTCAGTCTTGTACAGGTGTATCGTCTCCTCACCTTCAGTCTTGCACAGGTGTACCGGCTCCTCCCCTTCAGTCTTGTACAGGTGTCACGGCTCCTCCCCTTCAGTCTTGCACAGGTGTACCGGCTCCTCCCCTTCAGTCTTGCACAGGTGTGCTGGCCCAACCCCTTTCATTTATTGGATTTCAGTCATAGACTCTCAGCATCACATGTGGGCGTTACCTATGTAAATACAGCCTGCTTGGGAACGCCCACTCCTCTAGGCTGACACCCTCCCATCAAAGCCTTATGATATTTGCATAACTCCTCCCACTGCCTACATCAGGGCTGAGGGTCCTGCGATGAGTACTGTGGCAGGGTGCTGGGATGTTTTCAGGAAGCTCTTTTCAGCCCCTTGCCAGCCCGTCCCACCAACTGCGATCTGCCTGCATTGTGTAGAGAAGTACAGAGACCCAGTGATGACATCACCGGGTCTAAAATAAATCATGTCATTAAGAACTCTCATTAGTCTGGCGATGGGGGAGGGGGAGGTGGGATTCGGCTTCATTCGCTTCTCCCAACTGAAGAGGCAACAATTGGTGAGAGGTGACCACACACTGTGCAATCGTCTATACAGTGCAGGGGCCGCCTGCCTCGGGACACATTTAATAGATGGTCTAGGTGCAGGGGCTGACTGACAACTCATGGGGCCCCCGGGCAATAGGGGATCATGGGGCCCCTGTATCCTTGCCCAAACTCAAAAAAGCCTATGAAAAAGGTACCAGGGGCATCTCATGGGGCCCCCTACTGACCCCGGGCAGTCGGGGAGTTTCCAAATGGTCAGTCCGCCCCGTCTAGGTGTGTCCTCCTATTACACGTTTATTGATGACTCTGGAGGGGATTGTACAATCGGATTGTTGGGTGTATGGCCATCTTTGGGAGATCATGGCGGCGCCGTCTCCTGCAGTGCTCAGGCCGGTGTCAAGGCTGGCGGTTGGCTCAGGCGCCGTCTCCTGCAGTGCTCAGGCCGGTGTCAATGCTGGCGGTTGGGTCAGGCGCCGTCTCCTGCAGTGCTCAGGCCGGTGTCAATGCTGACGGTTGGCTCAGGCGGCTCGGGCGCCGTCTCCTGCAGTGCTCAGCCGGTGTCAATGCTGGCGGTTGGCTCAGGCGGCTCCGGCGCCATCGTTGGTCTGGAGTTCCCCCGCCAGGATCTAATACCGGAAAAGTCCTAATGTTGCTAAAAAGTCATTTGCGATCCATTTTAAGCGTCTCCTTTCCCGATAACGCCCCCCCCCCGCAGGCTCCTCCCCCCCCAGCGGAGATGTTCGGGGTCATATTCCGCCGCAGTGGCCATCAGAGCGGCCGGCCCGCCCCCGGCGTGATTCGATTTGGAGACCTTTTGTTTACAGACGTCTGGCTGGACGGGGCCGCTGATTGAATTTTCCATGAAACGTTGCCCCTTTAATTCTGTAAAACGCGGTTTGCTCGCATCTCTGGGGCTCGCCGCTGCGGGATCGGATTTCTGGAAGATGGATTGAGCGTCTTCTGCCCTGTCCCTCCAGAGCCCCCCCCCCCCTCGCTGTACCATCCGATCGCTCAGCTGGAGGATCAGCGATCGCCGCGCAGCATTGCGACCAGCCAACCGCCCGGGCGCTGCGGATCATAGACGATGGAATAAAACCCAGTGGAGTCAGTCCTGTCTTCTTCCAGCTCAGTGCTGCGCATCTCCTGCAGCCTCTTGGCAGCCACTTCTCGTCTACCCCCCACCCCCCCCATGGCGATGGCTGCATGGCATTCCTCAGAGCGGGTTTCCTGATGGTGACCACAGTAGACCGTGTCGGTGTCATGTGTGCTCACACAACCTCCATCGGCAGGGTGACAACGCAGGAGCACAATTGGGGGACAGCTGCGAAGCGTTGTCACCCTACAACAGGAAGTGCCCGAGCAAAGACTTACATGAGGGATTGCTTTATGGAAGACTGCAGAGTTAGGGGCTGTTTCATAGCCGGTGGGTGGCAGGAATCAGTGCGATATTCTGCATTTTCCCAAAACGCATGAAAACGCAGACGCTCGGGTGCCATCGATTCTTCATTCCTGCAAACATAATTTGACCTTAATTCTTCGGACTATAAAATATCCCGTCCATATTGATGATTTGTGATGGCGCACTGTTCATCCCAATGACACCAATGATGGGGCACTATTCCTCCCACTGACACCAATGATGGGGCACTATTCCTCCCACTGACACCAATGATGGGGCATTACTCCTCCCACTGACACCAATGTTGGGGCACTATTCCTCCCACTGACACCAATGATGGGGCACTATTCCTCCCACTGACACCAATGATGGGGCACTATTCCTTCCACTGATACCAATGATGGGGCACTATTCCTCCCACTGACACCAATGATGGGGCACTATTCCTCCCACTGACACCAATGATGGGGCACTATTCCTCCCACTGACACCAATGATGGGGCACTATTCCTCCCACTGACACCAATGATGGGACACTATTCCTCCCACTGACCCCAATGATGGGGCACTAGTCCTTCCACTGATACCAATGATGGGGCGCTATTCCTCCCACTGACACCAATGATGGGGCGCTATTCCTGCCACTGACACCAATGATGGGGCACTATTCCTCCCACTGATACCAATGATGGGGCACTATTCCTCCCACTGATACCAATGTTGAGGCACTATTCCTTCCACTGACACCAATGATGGGGCACTATTCCTCCCACTGACACCAATGATGGGGCACTATTCCTCCCACTGATACCAATGATGGGGCACTATTCCTCCCACTGACACCAATGATGGGGCACTATTCCTCCCACCAATACCAATGATGGGGCACTATTCCTCCCACTGATACCAATGATGGAGCACTATTCCTCCCACTGACACCAATGATGGGGCACTATTCCTCCCACCAATACCAATGATGGGGCACTATTCCTTCCACTGACACCAATGATGGGGCACTATACCTCCCACTGATACCAATGATGGGGCACTATTCCTCCCACTGACACCAATGATGGGGCACTATTCCCCCCACTGACACCAATGATGGGGCACTATACCTCCCACTGATACCAATGATGGGGCACTATACCTCCCACTGATACCAATGATGGGGCACTATTCCCCCCACTGACACCAATGATGGGGCACTATACCTCCCACTGATACCAATGATGGGGCACTATTCCTCCCACTGACACCAATGATGGGGCACTATTCCTCCCACCAATACCAATGATGGGGCACTATTCCTTCCACTGACACCAATGATGGGGCACTATTCCCCCCACTGACACCAATGATGGGGCACTATACCTCCCACTGATACCAATGATGGGGCACTATTCCTCCCACTGACACCAATGATGGAGCACTATTCCTCCCACTGACACCAATGATGGGGCACTATTCCTCCCACTGACACCAATGATGGGGCACTATACCTCCCACTGATACCAATGATGGGGCACTATTCCTCCCACTGACACCAATGATGGGGCACTATTCCTCCCACTGACACCAATGATGGGGCACTATTCCTCCCACTGACACCAATGATGGGGCACTATTCCTCCCACTGATACCAATGATGGGGCACTATTCCTCCCACTGACACCAATGATGGGGCACTATTCCTCCCACTGACACCAATGATGGGGCACTATTCCTCCCACTGATACCAATGATGGGGCACTATTCCTCTTGCTGACACCAATGATGGGGCACTATTCCTCTTGCTGACACCAATGATCAGCCGAGATCTCCGTTAGCGATGGGATTGCGTCCAGGAGGGCGGCCGGGGGGGGTATTGCGTCCATGGGGGGGGGGGCGGGCTAGGCGTCCATCTTCGGTGTGGTCTCGCGTTATTCCCTTAAAATGTTTTAAAAGTGAATCGGCATCAAAGCCAAGAGCGAGGCGGAGATGAGTCGGAGGCGGCGGCGGGGGGGCCGCGTTGGACAATAAACATGGCCTGGCTGGGGTGACATATGGTTCACACGTTGAGTAAACAGGCAGCGTGAGCTCCAAGGATCGCACCACCCGCGCTGCAAAGGGAAGGTGGCAGCGGGAAGGGCCCCGGGGGTCAGGAACCACCCGACGGGGTCACTGAAAATCCAAATCGCCCCAGGAAAGGGAACGGGCTCGGCGGCGGGTTGTAGTCGCTTAGCGTGCGTTATCAAGATGCAGCGAGTGCGACCGACCACAGGAGAGCACAGGGGGGGGACGGGGACGTGGAAAGCATGCGATGGGAAGGACTACAACTCCCAGCATCCACATCCAAGCATCAGGGCGTTCTGGGACTTGTGTTCCCTCTACATCTAGGGCTCCACAGGCTGCCAAGTCATGATTATTCAGCTGCTGACAATCACTTCAAAGGCCCCATACATGAAATCTCGCACACTGAGCGATTCGTCGGAATTTCACGTCACCTGCGTTATGCGGCTGTGTGTGGTCTGTGCTGTCTATAAACACAGCGCCGTCCGGGGGGGAGGGGGGGGTTAATGTGGAACCATCTGTGTGGATGGAATTTATCCGCAGACTAGATAACATCAGACATCAGATACGACCTCTCAGACGGGACTTCTGACCATAAAAAACATATCGAGATTTTATTTCTCCTCCTTTTTACACCAAAAAGAAATCGAATGGAAATCTCGCGTCACGACCGCGCCGCCATTCCTCTATGTCTTTATTTCTGGGATAGATTTCCCATTCTTGTGGGTGATAGTCGGTCCAATTAAAGATCGCGGCCCGCCCAGAAGAATGCTACTGGATGGATGGATGGATGGAGGGAGGGATGGATGGATGGAGGGATGGATGGGATGGAGGGATGGATGGAGGGATGGATAGATTAATAGATGGATGGATGGATAGATGGATGGATGG